ATTAAAAACTTCTGCTCTGCCAAAGATACTGTTAATAGAATTTAAAAAACAAGAATATATTTGCAAAACACAACTGAAAATCCAAAATATAAAGGACTCTTAAAAGTTATCAATAAGAAAATAAACAATGCAATTCAAAAACGGGCATAAGACACCTCACCAAAGATATACAGATGAAAAATAAGCATATGAAAAGATGCTCAATATAAGTCATTAGAGAACTGCAAGTAAAAACAAGAATAAGATACTACTACATACCTATTAGCATTGCTAAAATTTTTTAAAAACCTGACAATGCCAAAGGCTGGTGAAGATGTTGAGCAATAGGAACTCTCATTCACTGCTGGTGGGAAAGTGAACTAATACAGCCACATTGGAAGACAGTTTGTCAGTGCCCTACAATGCTAAATATAGTCTTATATGATCTACCAATTGTGCTCCTATTTACTCAATAGAGTTGAAAATTTTTATCTGCATAATAACCTGCATGCAAATGTTTGTAGTAGCTTTACTCACAACTACCAAATTAGAAGCAAACAAGATGCCCTTCAATAGATAAATGGATAAACAAACCATGGTACATACATGCATACAATGGAATATTATTCAGTGATCAAAATAAATGAACTATCAAACCACAAAAGGACAAGGAACATTAAATCCATACTGCAAAGTGGAAGAAGCCAATATGAAAAGGCTGCATACTGTATGATTCCAACTATATGACACTCTGTAAAAGGCAATATAGAGACAGTAAAAAGATTAGTGGTTGGTTACCAGGGGTTCAGAGAGAGGAATAAATAGGTAGAGCACAGGGATTTTTAGGGTGGCAACACTATTTTGTATTACACTATAATGGCGTATACAGGACATTAGCCATTTGTAAAAACCAATAGAACTGTACAACATAAAAAGAGAAACTTAAACTATGAACTTTGGTTAATAATAGTGTATCAATATTGATTCATTAATGCTGCGGTCCCCAACCCCAGCCCATGGCCTGTTAGGAACCAGCCCACATAGCAGGAGGAGAGCAGCACATAATAAGGTGAGCTGTGGGCCAGGGAGTGAAACTTCATCTGTATTTACAGCCAGTACCCATTGCTCCCATCACTACCTAAGCTCTGCCTCCTGTCAGATCAGCAGTGCATTACATTATCATAGGAGCTGCAACCCTACTGTAAACTGCGCATGTGAGGGATCTAGGGTGAATGCTTCTTATCAGAATCTAATGCCTGATGATCTCAGGTAGAGCTGAGATAGTGATGCTAGCACTGGGGAGTGGCTGCAAATAAAGATCATAGCAGAGAGGTTTGACTGCACAATAAATGTAAAGCACTTGAATCATCCCCAAACCATCCCCTGCTCCTGGTCTATGAAAAAATTGTCTTCCATGAAACTGGTCCCTGGTGCCAAAAAGGTTGGAGACTGGTGCATTAATTGGAAAAACTTTCCATACTAAGGCAAGATGTTAATAATAGAGGAAACTGATTTGTTTGTGGGAGGGTTATACCAGAACTCTAAACTATCTGCTCAATTTTTCTATTAAAACACAGACTCTGCAGGTATGGCCTGTCCTGCCATACACTGGACTGGGTTGCAGTGTGGATAGCCCCTCATCCTGAGAAATGCATCTAGACTGGAAAGGTGACTGCCCTCCTGCCTGTAATATAATGCATATTCACGGAGTACCTGGTGCTAACCATTTGTAGATGACTGCTTCTCGGTTGGGGCTTCATACATAGCAGAGCAGCTACCTCACTGACACTCACAGAAAGTCAGTCCTTGATGCAGGGTTTACAAAAATAATAATAATTATTATAATAATAAATAATAAAAAATCTGGCTGGGTATAGTGGCTCATGCATATGAAACTAGCACTCTGGGAGGCTGAGGAAGAAGGATTGCTGTGGCCAAGAATTCGAGATCGGCCTGAGCAAGAGCGAAACCCTCTCTACAAAAATATACAAAAATTAGCTGGGTGTGGTGGTGCGTGCCTATGGTCTCAGCTACTCAGGAGGCTGAGGCAGGAGAATCCCTTAGGCCTAGGAGCTTGAGGGTGCAGTGAGCTCTGATGACACCACCGCACACTACCAAGGTAAGAGAGCCAGATTGTCTCAAAAAAAAAAAAAAATTAAAAAGCCAAACTATATTTTAGTCAATTTACTAATGAAATGGTATCCCTTTCATTTGTATTTCATATGTGGACATTTTTACAAGTGTTTACTAGCTTTATTATCTTTTTTACTGAAATATCTCCAAGTCTTAGTGACAAATCTCTAAGATGAAGTTCTGAATAAATTCAGTCATTAGCTGCTCAAGTTGTATTTTTAGGCTTGATACCTTGATGCAGAAATAACTGAGATTCTACTTCTCTGCTGTAATGCCATTTTGTTTCAAGATGTACAGTTGACTATGACATGATATATCTAATGTACTGATTTCCTAAATCCCATTTTTTCTTTTACTGATACAAGAGTATCATCATGGAGCTTCTTAAATAATTAAAATATTATCTAAATATGTTCTTTGAAGATTCATATGATGATGTTTTTTCCAAAGACAATAAAATCAAAACTAGAAAAAAATGATTCTTTACTGAAGAAAGATCTAAATACATACTATGAGGGTTTGCAGAATATTAGTGTTTATGATCACCACTTATACATAGCCCTTTAACTTTTCATATCTCTAAGATAAAGGAATTCTGTAAGCATCCAGAAAGGGAAAAATCACACATAAACTTAAAACAAATTAGCTATGGTGGTCATTAGTGACATTCACCAAATACCTCTGGTTAACTTCTCTTCTAGATACCTAGTTAGAAATGAACTTCTTACTCTCTCAAAGTTAGAAGTGACCATATTCTAGACAGTGCACTGTGAGGAGATGTGCTCTGATCACCTCTAGGTAGGAACTTTTAAGAGAGTGTCCATGATTCACCATGCTCCCTTCCCTTCACTGGGGTGCATGTGGAAAAACATGCTGAGATAACCTCTATCACTTCTCGAGTGAATACAAGAGCAGTGGCCCTTTGTTGATTTATATGGAACACAGAGAACAAAAGCAACAATGAACTTCTGTTGTGTTAAGCCACTGAACTTTGGGGTTTTTATGACTGTGCCTATTCAGACTGACAAAATAATAATAAAGGGGAAAAAAAGCCTGTCCTTAGAGTTTCCCCAGAAAACACGAATGAGTAAAATCTACAAACAGATGGTCCCCAACTTACAATGGTTCAACTTAGGATTTTTTGACTTAACATGGTGCAAAAGCAATATGCCTTCAGTAGAAAGTGGCAAAATATTCTAGTGATGCTTGGCAGTAGTAATAAGCTGCAGCTCCCAGTCAGCCATGAGATCATAAGGGTAAACAATTGACCCTCTACAGTATTCTATGATACTGGACCATTTTGCCCACCTTAGGCTAATGTAAGTGGTCTGAGCATACTTAAGGTAGGCAAGGCTAAGTAAGCTATGATGCTCAGTAGGTTAGGTGTATTAAAAGCATTTTCAACTGAAGATATTTTCAACTTATGATCCCATCATCAGTAAAGAGGATTTGTAACTCCAAAGCGGAAAAAAACTGACCCAAGAATTCAACCACCAACCATGTTGTAGGTTATGAAAAATAACTTCTGATGTATTTAAGAAATTCTAATAGTACAAAAGCATATTAGTCACATAATGCTCTTGTAAAAACGACTCAAAATAACATTAAAGTAAAATGCAATGAAAAATAATAATAAAAACTTAAAAAATTAAGAAATAATGATTATAGAAGGGCATAAAGACTGAAATTAAACAGAGTCAAAACTAATAAATTATTATAAATATGATTATAATAAATGCGAAAATTCTTAAAACTTCCTAGATCTAAATTCCTACTTTATATACTTTAAACAATACTAAAAATGAATGACAACAGTAAAATCCTAATTTCCTCATCATACATAAATTAGTCAGCAATATATTGCTTTAATAAAAAAATTTTACTTCTATTCCCAATATATAGTATATTAGTTAGAAATCTAAATTTACTGCATAGAATATGTGAGAAAACATTTTACACACCTTAAACACTTAAAATTAAATAATAATACCTTCAAATTTTAACATCCATACTTTGTCTCCTATAGTGAATAAAGAATGTGAGAGGAAAGAAAACGGAGAATAAAACAATTTTATCTTTTTGAGGTAACTAAGCAAATAAGACAGTGAGGAGAATCTAAGAAGACTTGAGCATGCATATGAAAATATTACATAAGTTTGGGTTAAACAATAAACAATAAAAAAAAATAAGAAAAATAAAAAGACTAAATGAGAAAACACAGATACAGAGGCACAAAGTACATGCTCAATAAATGGTAGTTTCTTTTCCCATTACCAACCTCTAATTCTTCAAGGGCAAAAGACCATGATGAAACTAACAGATGAAAATTTGTCACCAGGAGGAAAAAGAAGGGGAAAAAGGTATGCCAAACTGAAAGATATCACCTAACTTTACAAGGCCTTTGTAAATCTTCTATTAAAAAAAAACAAAAAGAAGAAGCAAAATGTTAGTTACAAAATAATGAAATGGAAAACCTTTTCAGTATTTTTTTTTTTTTTTTTTGAGACAGAGTCTCGCTTTGTTGTCCAGGCTAGAGTGAGTGCCGTGGCGTCAGGCTAGCTCACAGCAACCTCAAACTCCTGGGCTCGAGCGATCCTTCTGCCTCAGCCTCCCGAGTAGCTGGGACTACAGGCATGTGCCACCATGCCCGGCTAATTTTTTATATACATATCAGTTGGCCAATTAATTTCTTTCTATTTATAGTAGAGACGGGGTCTCGCTCTTGCTCAGGCTGGTTTTGAACTCCTGACCTTGAGCAATCCGCCCACCTCGGCCTCCCAGAGAGCTAGGATTACAGGAGTGAGCCACCACGCCCGGCCCCTTTTCAGTATTATAAATAAGAATTATCACATGCCTGCCAAAGGAAACACCAGAAATCAAGCTTTTACCATTGTTTTTCCTGATCCTCGGGGTCCAATAATGAGTACAGAGTTACTTTCTCCATTGATAGCAGTTCTTTTCAGCAGCTCAATTAAGTGTCTAAAATGATACAAGTAGGCCAAAATTAAAAAAAATAAAGCTGGAATAATTTTCTAGATAGTACCTTTTTAAAGCTGAATTTAAATATACACAAATTTCTCTCTTTTTCCCCTCTGTGCACTTGACTCAGGCTCTACATAGTCATACACAGAAGAATACAGAAAAAACAGTAGGCTTGCTGATTCTTTGGAAACCTCAAGTGAAAACCTAGTTAAGTTTGGAATATCATATTGGTTTTTATGATGGTAGGGGACAGGGGACAATGGTGGCAAAGCTTAGGACCCTTGCATTCAGATCTCCTTTTTTACTAACACTCTGTACTTTTAAGCCACATCCAGCTGGTGGGTATTAAGTGCAAGGTCAGAATTCTCTTCATAATACCAGATAATAGAAACAAAGCAAGATTCAAAGTTAAAGGGCTTTCTCATTATGGAAATATTTGTATGTACTCCCGCTTCATGATATTCAGTGTTTCTATACACAAGGCAATTTTTTTTAACTCCTATAATAAATGTTCGTTAGCCTTATTTAAGATCAAATTTGGGTATAATAATTTTTGCAAAGCCTGGAGGGCATCTGTGAGTAGGTTCTTATCAGACAAGGAAACAGCTAGACTTACTTGTATTGTACTTGTACTCCATATAGATTATTATGTGGACTCTGATGACAAAATCTTTCACGTAAAATTCTTTGTACCTGATGAGATTAAGTCAATAAAATTATTACAAATGTATTAAAAAATGAGAGAAAGTACATTTATAGTAGTTAGAATTAGATTTTTTTTTTTTTTTTTGAGACAGAGTCTCACTCTGTTGCCTGGGCTAGAGTGCCATGGTGTCAGCCTAGCTCACAGCAACCTCAAACTCCTGGGCTCAAGCAATCCTTCTGCCTCAGCCTCCTGAATAGCTGGGACTACAGGCTTGTGTCACCATGTCTGGCTAATTTTTTCTAGATATTTTTAGTTTCCAGTTAATTCTTTCTATTTTTAGTAAGAGATGGGTCTTGCTCTTGCTCAGGCCGGTCCCGAACTCCTGAGCTCAAGCGCCACCAGCTTCAGCCTCCAGAGTGCTAGGATTACAGGCATGAGCTACCACCTCAGCCTCAAATTAGATATTAATGAATTAGTTCACCCTTCCTTAAATATTTGTCCTCAAGAGTTCTGCCACTATTTTCATAAGTTAAATTAATGGTCTTTTACTATCTTGAGTCCCATAGAAAGGAGAATTGAGTTGTAAAGGTTTCAACAAGAGGGAGAATTACTTACTTTAGCTACATTAGCAACTTGGAGGCTGTTTTATGCATGTGAATGATATTTCACTCTGTATAACATGTCAGCCAAGGAACAAAGACAAGAAAGAGGAATCTAATAATGCAATCTAATCTAATAATGCTCATGTTCTACATGCTCAATCTCTAGAGACCAATACATCTAAACTGGCTAAGCTCAAGACCTACCAATCTGTACATATCATAAAATTTAGGATTCTGAGGTAAACAGCTTAAAATTTCATGTAGTTATTGAAGACCTATTAGCTTCAGAGCACAGTACTACTAAAAAGGCATGAAACATGCTTAACAAACACAGCAAATAACTGGAAAAAATAATAATTCAAGAAGCATACTGCAAAAAGTAGTAATTTGGCATAAGTAAATGTTCAATTGTATGATGACAAAACCCACATTCATCTAAGCTATAAAGTAAGGAATCATTAGAATGAATTTTTAAAAATCTTTTAAGGAGCTATATTTTGAGTTCACCTTGGAAGAAGGGTCTTAGACTTACTTGTGAAAAATTATGTCAGACATCCTAGCACTCTGGGAGGCCGAGGCGGGCAGATCACTCGAGGTCAGGAGTTCGAAACCAGCCTGAGCAAGAGCGAGACCCTATCTCTAACTATAAATAGAAAGAAATTAATTGGCCAACTATATATATGGAAAAAATTAGCTGGGCATGGTGGTGCATGCCTGTAGTCCCAGCTACTCGGGAAGAGGATTGCTTGAGCCCAGGAGTCTGAGGTTGCCTGTGAGCGAGGCTGACCACGGCACTCACTCTAGCTGGCAACAAAGCGAGACATCTGTCTCAAAAAAAAAAAAAAAAAAAAATTATGTCAGATAATCTTGCACAGTCTTTAAAAAGATGGACGATTAAGCCATTCCTTTTTTTGAATCTGTAGTTAATACAGAGGTCTTACAGGGACAAAAACCTTAGGGAGCTGTCTCAAATTTGGCTCCATGGGCTGAAATAAAACCTCTCCCCAAAAATTTGCTTCTCCCAGACTGACAGCAGGGGACTAATCCTTCATGTACAAAAGAGGCAAGTCTGAATTCTCAAAACAATTATTCACTAGAGATAAAACAATCTCTACTTATCAATACAGATGAAATGGAAAGAATAAGGGGATTGGTCCTAGAAGAGCCAATTATATTAATTCAAAAAAGTTAAGTCTTTTCTAAATATTAATTTATCTATAAAATAAGTACAATAATATCTTTATAGTAGGCCTATCATCTGTAACACAATATAGGTATTTTATAGCTAATACCTATACAATATTTAAATGAGCATATATATAGACTCAACTAACCATAATGTGTATTCCTCTACCTGGATGAGATCACTAGAAATTAAATCACAAACCGCAATCCTTTTCTTAAAAACAAACAAACAAAACAAAAAACTAATTAAAGTCTACTAGAGAGGCAACAACTATGTATAATACATTAGATAAAGGAAATGAGGCTATAGTGAATAGTCAGAAGGTTCAAAAATCCCAAAGTGACTAGGCATGGAGGTTAAACAGTTGTATATATGTACAAAAATTAATTCAGGTATACATGGAAGATTTGTGCACATTACATATAAAGGCATGTAAACTGTACCTCAGTTAAGCATTTTTTTTGGAAACAGTTAAACATTTTCCTTCAAAAAAGTAAGATCTTATAAAAGAATACCAACAATATTTAGTTTTGATTTAAAAAATAAATGTAGTTCATGTTAACTACAGATAAATGGAAATGCCAGGGTAGAGCTAACATGGCCATTCTCTACTAGACTATAAGCTTCCTAAGGGAGATACATAGAGGTATATGCACAGCACTGGGAATAAAGTATGCACTTAAGATAATACTAAAAGTTCATTATAAAAACACTCAAAAAAACTAGAATTATAAAAGGAAATTTCCTGAACTTAAAACGGCATCTATGAAAAACCTACAGGTAGTATCTTACATAATGGTGAAAGACTGAGTTTCTTCCCCCTAAAATAAAAAACAAGACAAGAATATCTGTTCTTGCAACTCCTATTCAACATTTACTCAAGATTCAAGCCAGGGAAATTCAGCAAGAAAAATAAAAGGCATCCGGATTGGAAAGGAAAAAGTAAAACATTCTCTATTTGCAGATGGCTGTAAGGCTGGTGGCGGCCCCCTCCCCTCCCTAGATCAAAAAGAAAAGGCTCAGGAGACCCAACTCACCAAGAACAAACTGGCAGGCCCTGCTGAGAGAACCACACCCAGATGTCCACCTGGATAAGAACTTTTCCGTTTCTGCTTCTGGGTTCTGCAAATACCACCAGCCCCTCCTATTTCTCCATGACCACCCAAGGTCACAATGGAAAATCTCCAGCTCTTCCCATCAAAAGTCCCTAGTCCACCCCAAATGGTATAAAAGGCTTCCCGCCTTTCAAACATACGTGACTTCTCTAGCCCCCCTCTCTTGGGGCCCTTCGAACCTCACCCAAGAGTGCTTTTATTTAGCCACGTTGTTTGGCCTCTCTCTCTCTCTCTCTCTCTCTCTGTTTCTTTCGCCGTGGGAAAACGTTACAATGACATGATGTTTTATATAGAAAATCCTAAGGAATAAATTGGAGAATTATTAGAACGGATAAATGAATTAAGAAAGGTTGCGGCCCGGCGTGGTGGCTAACACCTATAATCCTAGCATTCTGGGAGGCTGAGGTGGGCAGACTGTTTGAGCTCAGTTCAAGAGCAGCCTGAGCAAGAGTGAGACCCCATCTCTACTAAAACAAATAGAAAGAAATTAGCTGGACAACTAAAATACATATATATATATAAAATTAGCCGGGCATGGTGGCACATACCCATAGTCCTAGCGACCTGGGAGGCTGATGCAGGAGGATCCCTCGAGCCCAGGAGTTTGAGGTTGCTGTGAGCTAGGCTGATGCCATCGCACTCTGGCTCAGGCAACAGAGTAAGACTCTGTCTCAAAAAAGAAAGTTTGCAAGATATAAAATCAATACACAAAAATTAATTACATTTCTATACGCTAACAATGAACTAACCAGAATGAAAATAAGAAAACAATTCTATTTATAACAGCATCAAAAGGAACAAAATACTCAGGAATAAATTTAGCAAAAAGAGTGCTAAACTTATACTCTGAAGATAGTATTTAAATAAATCGAAATAAAAATACTCATGTAAAATTGTAAAAGTTTAGTAAAACTTTAGGATGAGTAAAAGTTAGGATTCTGACTACTCAAAGACTTAAAATGAATGAAATTGCTTCAGGACAGATTGGAGTGATTCTTCTTAAGTGCTAAGGGAAAAATTCAAATTAAGAAGATGACTATTTCTCTGATCACTTTTTCACCTTAACAGGCCTTGATATAAATGAAAATACATACTAACCTGTGACAGGCAGTCCGCATGAATTAAGTTGTTATTCTTAGATTTACGACTGCTCATTTCAACAATTTCAAATCCTTAAAAAAAAAAAATTAGCATGAATATCATAAATGCTACTGGCTTAAAGAAATTATTTAAGCATTTACTATTCTGGAATAAAAATAAATATAAGTTTTTAAATGTCTTTAAGACAGTTCAAATTTCTCAAATTTTAAAAATCCTCCACAGTTCCACTCTGTTGAAGTTCACATTTATTTTATTCTCTCATACCACACTTAACTGGCACATTTTTTATTACACTCTCCTTTACTGAGTTTTGGAGATACTGCATTATTTATAAATTGAAGCAACCTTGTGTCCAAAAAGTCTATGGGTACCATTTTTCCAATAGTATGTGTTCATCTCATGTCTGTGTCAGTATTTTTAAGCAATAAGGTACTTTTAAATTAAGGTATGTAGATTTTTTTAGACATAATGCTATTATACATTTAAATAGACTATAGTACAGTATAAATAAAACTTTTATATGCACTGTGAAATAAAAAATGTACATTAATCACTTTATTGCAATATTTACTTTATTACAGTGGTCTGGAACTGAATCCACCATATTTCCTAGGTTTGTCTATATATGGTTCTTACAACTACTCCTCCCTTTCCCTTAAATTTACTTATTATTCCTCTTCCTTTCCTTCTTTTTTCAACTTCCTTTATATAGTATGTTTCTCTCATCCATCCATCCCACAGGATCATCTCTTACAGAAAACCTTCCCTTTCTTGTTCCACTCAACATACTCAAATTATCATTACAGACTAGGTTAAATGCCTCTTCTGTAAACACCCTTAAATGCTCGTCCATAATAAAATTGTACTAAACAGAATTGTCTTTTTAATTGACAATGTCCCCAAACTGAGTACATTTTTACATTCCAAACATTATAGCATAATGCCCCAAAGCTAGAAATAAAGTAAATATTAGAATAAAAAAATACTAATGAAAAATAATTTTTGTGAAATTTTTCTGAACAGTAACATACTCATAAACAAATGCCTTTGACTAAAAGATGAAAGTTTCTTAGCACTGATTTCCTATATTGTTACAAATGCTTTGCACTTATCAATTCATTTTGTCCTCAAAATTAGCCTATAGAATAAGTACTATTATAATCCTCCTTTAAGATCAGAAGACACAGAAAGGTTAATTAAGTAACTTGACCAAATCAATATGTAAGTGGAGGAGTCAAGAGCTGAACAGAACAAACTTATACACTTTTTAAAAACATGTATGCTGGTTTCTCTATTCTCCAAAAGGAACACAGCCCTGCTGACACCCTGATCCTAGCTCAGAGAATGCCACTTTTGAATTTTCAACCTCCAAAACTTATAAAACTCGAGACAAGCTAACCTTGTTAATCAAATCACCAATGATTAATGTTACTATGAGAGTGATGGCAGCAAGGATAAATACGAGGCCTACTGCTTGTATCCCCAAATAGGAACAATAATTTCACAGTCATCCATGGACAAAAAAACCTCTGTGGGAGCACTGAAATTCAGGCAAGAGTTTGAGACACCCAAGTGGACCTCAAGACCTAGGAAAGTTGTTTTGAGAGGGCAGATTGTCACCCAAGTTACAAAATTCTTGACTGTGATATAGGCTCCAGACCTGGAAATGGCCCTATCCTCCTGAGGGATCAGCTAATAGCCCCATATGACCTAGGTACCAGCGGCTGTAACAGAATTTGAATCCTTGTCTGGTCCCTAGACGGACTGGACTGTCCCCGGGGATTTTCTCTAAATAGCTGGCACTGGGATGAGGATCTGAATATATATAGCAGGCCTGTTCCCAATTGTACCTGGACAGGTAGAGCTTTCTCCAGGATGTAGGGAGGGCTCTTGTTGAATTACTCCAACAGGAGTGATCTGGGTAGGCAATATTGTCCCGGTCCATAGCTGAGGGGAGCTGGAACTAAATCACTAGGCTGCTTCAGGGACTACAACCAAGGCCAAAGTTTCCAGGTCTGTCTCCCGGGTCGCGGATGTGCATGTCTCCTGGTGAGTCCCTGAGTAGGCAAGCCTATTCTTAAGTTGTACTGAGTTCAGTATAAGTTCAGCAAACCTGCTCTGAGGACTCAGACAGGGGTGTCTTCTTTTGGGTCCTTAGCATGATCTCAGACCACAGTGAGAGGGCTTGGAGCAGGGTTACAGGGTTGTTTTGGGGTCCACAGTCGAGATCAAAGATGGTAGGGTAGGCCTCTCTTCTGAGATAATAGTGTGCACGACTTCTCCTGGCCTCCATGGTGAATAGTTTTGGTAGCAGGCCAATATCCTTTATGAACAACAGATGCAAAAATTCTCAACAAAATAATAGCAAACCCAATCCAACAGCACATTAGATTATTCACAATGATCAAATGGGATTTATCCTTGGGATCCAAAAATGGTTTGAAACTTGCAAATCTATAAATGAGATATAACACATTAACAGAATAAAGGACAAAAACCATATGATCATCTCAACAGATACAGAAAAAGCTCTGGACAAAATTCAATACGTTTTTATGATAAAAACTCTCAACAAATTAGGTATAGAAGGAATACACTTCAACACCAAAAAGGCCATTTATGACAAGTTCAAAGCTATCAACATACTCAAAGGTAAAAAGTTGAAACCTTTCCCTGTAAGAAAAGGAATATGACATGGATGCACATTCTGGCCACTTTCATTCAATACAGTACTAAAAATTTTAGCTGTAAGAATTAGGTAAGAAAAAGAAATAAAAGGCACCCAAATTAGAAAGGAGAAAGTTAAATTGTCTTTGCAGATGACATGGTCTTACTTAGGGAAAAACCATAAAGACACCACCAAAATACTGTTAGAATAAATGAATACAGCATAGTTGCAGGACACATAAGCAACAACAAAAAAAATCAGTAACATTTCTCTATACTAATAACTACTTAAAAAATGTTTTAAAAATCCAAATTACAATAGCATAAAAAAATTAGAAATAAATATAACCAAAGAAGTGAAAGATCAATATCCTGAAAATTATCAAACATTGATGGAAAGAAACTGAAGACAAAAATACATGGAAAGATATCCTGTGTTCATGGATTGGAATAATCAATATTGTTAAAATGTCCATAACTACCCCAAATGATCTACAGATTCAATGTAATTCCTATCAAAATTCTAATGACTTTTTCACAGATAAAGGAGAAGAAAATCCTAAGCTATAAACAGACCCATAAAAGGCAATGAATAGCCAAGGCAATCATGAGAAAAAAGAATAAAACTGGAGAGGAAGTGGAGCAAGATGACCAAATAGAACCCTCTAGTGACTGTCCCCCTACAGGAACACCAAATTGAACAACTATCCATGCAAGACAGCACCTTCATAAGAACAACAACAAGAAAGATTAGATCATAGTACCTGATTTTCACATACTATCAAGGAAAGAGGCACTGAAGAGAGTAGGATAGTCTTCCAATACACCACCCCTCTTCTTATTCTCCAGCAGCACTGCAGGTGGGGTGGGGCATTTGTGTGCTTGCAAGAGGGAGAGCAAAGTGACTATGGGAGTTTGCAATGGAACTCACTGCTGCCTATCACAGCAGAACACAACAGAGGCAGATTTTGCTTGCTCCTAGCCTTGGCCTGAGGGGGATTCTTAGACCTAGACTGAGGAATCTAAGTTCTGACTAACTCCACAACTGACTGAATAAAGTGGCCTGAGGACTAAAATAAAATTGAAAGGCTGGCCACAAGAACTGCAGTCCCTGGGCAAGCACTGGAGCAGCCCAGTGGACTTGGAGTGTGCATGACTCAGTGAGACAACTGTGGCAGTCAAAGGAATGCCTGTGTCACCCCTCCCCACCAACTCCAGGTAGCGCAGCTCCAGTAGAGACTCCTTCCACTTGGAGAAAGGAGAGAGAAAAGTACAATGAACTTTGTCTTACAACTTGGGTACCAGCTTAGTCACAGTAAAATAAAGCACCAAGAAGATTCTTGAAGCCTCCAATTCCAGGACTTCTGGACTGCAGAAGTCCAGAAGATGTCCTGCTTCCCATGTCCCTTGGGCAAGAAGGGAATCTGCTGCCCTGTTAGGTTGGGATGAGTCCCAGCAGGATTCATCACCAGCTGATTAAAGAACTATGGGATCTTGAATAAACATCAGTGGTAGCCAGGCAGCAGTCAACATGGGCCTTGGTTGAGACTCAGTACTGTCCGGGCTTCAAGAGCGATCCAGTACAGTGCTGGCTGCGGTGGCGAGTGGAGTGCTTGTGTCACTCTTCCACAAACTCCAGGCAGATCAGCACTGAGAGATACTACTTCTGATTGAAGGAGAGAGAAGAGAGCAAGAAATTTTGCCTAGTAACCCAGGGAATTCTCCCTGATCTTACCCAAGCCCGCTAAGGCAGTTGCTCTTGGAGTCTGCAAAAGTTATAGCATAATTGGTCTTGGGGCACTTCCTATTACTGATATGACTGTAGTAACCACAGGCTTCTACCACAACACTCAATTCCCTTTGAATACTTGAAAGACCTTCCAAAGGTGGACAGGTCAAATAAGCCCAGAGTGCTAAGATTAATGCCTAACCTTCAATGCAAAGACACTGACAAACAAACATCTACAAGCATCAAGAACACCCAGGTAAACATGACCTCACTTGATGAATAAAATAAGCCTCCACTAACCAATCCAGGAGTGATAGAGATATGTGACTTTCACAAAGAGAATTCAAAATAGCTGTCCTGAGGAAGCTCAACGAACTTAATGACAACACAGAGAAGGAATTCAGAATTCTACCAGAGAAATTTAACAAAGAGATTGAAATAATAAAAAAAGGGCAGCAGAAAATCTGGAGCTGAAAAACTCAATTGACAAGCTGAAAAATGCATCAGAGTTCTCTCAACAGCAGAAATGATCAAGCAGAAGAAACAATTAGTGAGCTTAAAGACAGGCTATCTGAAAATACACAGAGGAGAAAAAGAAAAAAGAATAAAGTGCAATTACAAGATCTAGGAGATAGTATCAAAAAGGCAAATTAAGAGTTACTGGCCTTAAAGAGGAGGCAGAAAGAGGAATCAGGGTAGAAAGTTTATTCGAAGAAATAATAACAGAAATTTGCTAAACCAAGAGAAAGACATCAATATCTAGGTAGAAGAAGGTCAGAGAACACCTGAAAATAAACTGATGAAAAAAGATATTCCATGCCATTGGAAACCAATAAAGGACAGGAGTGGCTAATACATCTAGTAGATAAAATAGATTTCAAGACAAAAACTGTAAAAAGAGACAAAGAAGGTCATTATATATTGATAAAGGGGCCAATTCAACAAACAGATATGACAATTATATATGCACCCAACATTGGAGCACCCAGATACATAACACAAATATTATTAGGCCTAAAGAGAAAGACAGACTCCAATACAATAATATATGAAGACCTCAATATCCCACTTTCAACATTGAACAGATCATCCAAACAGAAAATCAACAACAAAAAATGGGAGTTAATCTACACTATAGACCAAATGGACCTAATAGACATTTATAGATCATTCCACCAACAGCTGTATAATACACATTCTGATCCTCAGCAAATGGAATATTCTCAAGGATAGAGTATGTGTTGGGCCACAAAAAAAGTCTTAAAAAATTCAAAAAATATATAAGTATCTTTTATGACCACAATGAAATAAAACTAGAAATCAATAACAAGAGGAACTCTGGAAATTCTACAAATAGACAGAAATTAATATGTTAGTGTTCCTGAATGACCACTAGGTCAATAAAAATATTAAAACAAAATTTAAAAATTCCTTGAAATAAATGAAAGTGGAAGCACAACATCACAAAACCTATGATATAGTACAGCAAAAACAGTACTAAGAGGGAAGTTTATAGCAATAAACACCTACCATCAAAAAAGTAGAAAAATTTAACATAAACAACCTAACAATGCACCTTGAAGAATTTGAAATGCAAGAGTATATCAAACCCAAAATTAGTAGAAAAAAAGAAATAATAAAGATCAGAAGAGAAATAAATGAAATTGGGACTAAAAAAAAAAACATACACACAAAAGACCAACAAAATGAAAGGTAGTTTTTTGAAAAGATAAACAAAATCAACAAACATTTAGTCAGACTAATTAAGGAAAAAGACCAAAATAAATAAAAAAGATGAAAAATAAGACATTTCAACTATAGAAATTCAAACGATCATCAGAGACTATTATGAGCAACTACATGCCAATAAATTGGAAGACCTAAAAGAAACGAATAAATTCCTGCACACATACAACCTGTTAAGACTGAACCAAGCATAAATCTAAAACCTTGATAGACCAATAACAAGAGACAGAAGTAGTAATAAAACATCTTCCATCAAAGAAAACTCCAGGACCTGATAACTTCACTGCTGAATTCTACAAAACATTTAAAGAAGAACTTTATAATACCAATCCTATTCAAACTATTCCAAAAAATCGAGGAGAAGGGAATACTTCCAAATTGATTCCATGAGGCTAGTGTTACTCTGATACCAAAACCAGATAAAGACAACAACAAAAAAGAAAACTAGAGTGAAGATCATAGATGCAAGAATCCTCAATAAAATACTCTAGAAAACCAAATTCAACAATACATTAAAAAGAACATTCATCACAAATAAATGAGATTCACCCACGAGATGCAAGGATGGTTCAACATATGCAAATCAATAAACATGATACATTACATACGCAGAATAAAGGACAAATACCATATGATCATTTTAATTGATGCCAAAAAGTATTCAATAAAATCCAAGATCCTTTCATAATACAAACTCTCAAAAACTGGATAGAGAAGAAATATACCTCAACATGATAAAGGCCATACACGACATACCCATAGCCTTATTATACTGAATGGGAAAAAACTGAAAGCCTTTCCTCTAAGACCTGGAAGAAGACAAGGATGCCCACTTACATGATTGTTACTCAGCTAGTACTGGAAGTCCTAGCAAGTATAATTATAATTAGACAAGAAAAAGAAATAAAGGGCAGCCAAAATGGAAAGGAAGAAGTCAAGTTATCTTTATTTGCAAAAAAAAAAAAAAAAAAAAAAATCTTATATTTAGAAAAACCTAGAGACTACACCAAAAAACTCTAAGAACAAAGAAACAAATTCAGTAAGGTTGCAAGATAAAAAAATCAACAGGCAAAAACCAGTAGCATTTCCATACACCAACAGCAAATAATCTGAATGTTAATCTGATTTACTATGGCTATAAATAAAATAAAATACTGAAGAAAAACTTAACCAAAAAAGGA